CAGAAGCAAAGCCCAAACCACACCCACTGCCGTGGAGTCCATTCTGACCCACAGCGCCCCTAGAGGACAGAGTGGAACTGCCCCACAGGGTTTCCCAGGCTGTCATCTTTTTGGGGGCAGATCACCAGATCTTTTCCCCTCAGAGCTGCTGGGGTTTGAACTGCCAACCTTGTAGCTGGCAGCCAAGTGCTTAACCACTATGCCACCAGAGTTCCTTATGATTCAGGTTAGCAGAATGTATTGATGGCTCTGTTTTCAAAATCACTGGACCACTTTTCAATTTAACTGTGACTGCCATGTTTTTCAAGTGATAACCATCACTTAAGGGGAAAAAAAAGTTGCCACCGAGGTGACTCCAACTCATGGCAACCCCAGGTGCATCAGGGTAGCACTGTTCTCCACGGGGTTCTTAACGGCTGACTATTCAAAAGAAGATCACCATGACTTCCTTCTCAGGCACCTCTTGGTGGACTTGACCCTCCAACCTGTCAGTTGCCAGCCGGCTGTGTTAACCGTTTGTACCATCCAAATAAATAAATTGCAGGAGAAGGAATAAGTGTGGTTGGGGGTGTGAGGGACGGAGGAGAGACAAGAGAGAACACGTTTCCTGGCTTTTCTGGAACAAACTGTGGATTTATTTTTAAATGAAATTTTAATAAACAAATACATTGTTGAAGACTGGGCAATGTACTTCCATAGTGATACTGCCTCGGAAACCCAAGGAGGGGTCACTATGAGGCAGTTCTGACTCGATGGCAGTGAGTTTGTTTTTATTAATAAAGATATTGATAGTGCTTTTATAAAATACTATAGAAGGTATCATAGACAATTTCTGATACCTTTTGTATTTTTTCACACCCACCCAGTCACCTAAAACAGGCCTGCAGCCGAGTTCCGGCATGCACTCTAGATCCACTCCTTGTGGCAGAGGTTCACGGCAGGGTCTTGGGTTAATTTGCCAGAGAAATCAAAGAGGAGCTGTACCTGGGGAATTACATGCTTTCTGAATGAACCGATGCATGCTTGCCGTAGGCCAGAAGGCAAGGCAACAGACAATTCCTTTGTAAACTGCCACGCTTTACTCTGTGGTGAGTTTATTCAAAGTCCTTGGTACACAATTAATCCCTTAACAGGCCTACCTCATTTTACGTATACAGGCGTACCTCCTTTTATGTATAGTGGTACACCTTGTTTTACATATATTGGCCTACCTCATTTTAGGTACACTGGCCTATCTTGTTTTACATATACTGGCCTACCTTGTTTTACGTATACTGGCCTACCTCGTCTTATGTGTACTGGCCTACCTCATTTTACCTATTGTTGTTATTATATGCTGACAAGTCGGACCCGACTCATAGCGACTCCATGGCAGTGGGTGTGGTCTGGGCTTTACTTCTGAGAAGATTGACAGCCTGGGAAACCCTGTGGGCAGTTCCACTCTGTCCTCTAGGGGCGTTGTGAGTCAGAATGGACTCCAGGGCGGTGGGTGTGGTTTGGGCTTTGCTTCCGTGAAGATTGACAGCCTGGGAAACCCTGTGGTGCAGTTCCACTCTGTCCTCTAGGGGCGCTGTGGGTCAGAATGGACTCCACTGCAGTGGGTGTGGTTTGGGCTTTGCTTCTGTGAAGATTGACAGCCTTGGAGACC